ACCCTAGAGGTACTATCTGTGACTAGACATTTGTGACAGTCTGGCTGGGGCCGACTCCAGTGTTATAGACACTGAGACACACTGGTACCTACATGTCTGCATCCTCATCCCTCCGGTTAGTTTCTGCAGAAAAGGATGTCCCCAGGTGCAGGTCCTCCTCTTCACTGACCCTGAGAGTAGGAAGAAGGTCACATTCATTGAGGCCAAGTTACATCAGACAGCTCCGATACAACAGAAAATGCATGAAAACCTATGACACAGTATGGTATATAAAGAGAAAAAACCCTAGACACATGCAAGCAACAGGCGGCAGCACCTTTTAGACTTAAGAGAATGAGTGCAAGCTTTCTTTTGTAAACATGTATAATAGGTAGTTCCTGTGTATGCATGGGTGACCCTGCATGCACATATGGAGGTCAGAGGCTGTGTCAGAGTGCCCCCCCATGGCTCCTCCCCTTTGTCTTTTTTGTTTGTTTGTTTGTTTTTCGAGACAGGGTTTCTCTGTGTAGCTTTGCGCCTTTCCTGGAACTCACTTGGTAGCCCAGGCTGGCCTCGAACTCACAGAGATCTGCCTGGCTCTGCCTCCCGAGTGCTGGGATTAAAGGCGTGCACCACCACCGCCCGGCTTCCCCTTTGTCTTTTAAGATGAACTTTTACTAGTCCACAGCTCATTATTTTGGATAGACAGGTTGGCTACCAAGTCCCCAGGATCCACTGCCTGCACTCCCTAATGCAGGGGTTACAGACACATGCTGCCACACTTGGATTTTATGTGTGTCAGGGATCTCAACCCAGGCCCTTCACTTTACTCACTATACCATCTCCCTAGCTCCTTAAACACATTTACTTTTTTTTTTTTTTAAAGAGGGTCTCATGCAGTTTAATCTGGCCTTGAACTCCCAATCCTCCTGCTTTCGATTCCTGAGTGCTGGGGTTTTCAGTGCATTGTTTTTTGTCGGAAGCCATGCCGTCACCCCTGGGAATGGTGCATAAATGTTTTGCGAATGGAACTCTCTAAGGCAAGGCCCTTTGGAGAATCCCATCCACCTGGAAGGACTTGTGGAAGGGATGCTGAAGACCCCCTGTGCTGATGCCAGGGAGCTCAGATGCTGCAGACCCCTGTGCTGAGCCCCTGTGCTGATGCCAGGGAGCTCAGATGCTGCAGACCCCTGTGCTGAGGCCCAGGGAGCTCAGATGCTGCAGACCCCTGTGCTGAGGCCCAGGGAGCTCGGGTGCTGCAGACCCCTGTGCTGATCCCAGGGAGCTCAGATGCTGCAGACTCCTGTGTTGATCCCAGGGAGCTCAGATGCTGCAGATCCCTGTGCTGAGCCCAGGGAGCTCAGGTGCTGCAGACCCCCCCCCCCCCCCAGGGATGCTTCTAACTGTTGCCATGCTCATTCTCATGGTAATTCTTGGATTTTCTTTGCCAATTGTGATTGTAGTTGAGTTTACTGGAAACAAAAGCTGATACTTTTTTTCTAAGTCTCTCCAAGGAAATCGAACCTCTGCAATCATTCACAGAAACCAGTTCCTCAGGTCACCCCTGGCTGCCTTTGCAGTCATTCTCAGTAAGCAGGAGGAACTCACTAAGGTTAATGATTCTTGCTTACTTAACTATCCTAAAAAAGAAATAACTATATTGGGAGATGGTTTCTGAAAAGATGACATTAAAAACTTACAGGAACATATAAGGAAAAGGCAAAGGACATGAAAGGTCAGACATCTCTCTGGTGCCAGGACGTGAACGGTTAGGTGTTTTTTCAGTTAAAACTCCCAGTTCCCTTGGAAGTAAAAGCACATGTAGAAACTGCCAGGAAGAATATAAACTTGGCCCCAAAAGTTAGAGAATTAGGTAATCACTACCATTTTGAGAATTTATAAATAGGATTACAACTGTTGTCCACAGAAAAGTGATATACAGATTATTTAGAAATTGACTTACACTTGAAAATAATATCCTAGGTATGGCTGATTACAAAAATATAAAATATTACATTGTTAAGGACTAATCATAAGACTTGAATCTCTTTTTTTAATAACTGCATGTTTGCTGCTGGCTAGGGCACAGTATGGATAAGATGTTCCTGGCTAGATATAACCATTTGGCTTGCAATATAAAAATTAATGAGATGAGGAAAAGGTCAATGACGTCAAGGGAGTGGGGAAGAGGAAAGAAACTAAATTGGGAAAATGGTAATGATTCTTGGAAAATGATTAAAGAGAAATGTATTGAAACTGCTCATGTCTGGATGCACTAGAACTCATAAAAACAGTGGCTCGAGTTACTCAGGGCATCTGTTTGAAAGACTTTCACCGACTCCACACCTCCGTCCTGCAGCTCAGAATCTCTCTGGAGCTGGACTCTGGTAATTTTTGTAACTAGGTTTTCATACAAAGCTTCCCCGTGTTTGAAATAATGAACAAGGCCCCTTACAAAAGGATTCTTCTCTCTTGGCTCTGAGCCCTCCACTGGGGTTGTTTCTAATTAGCACACCCCGGCACAGCACAGAGGCTGCAGCTCTGTGCAGGATGTCTCAGCAGCCCTCGCCCTCCCTGCCTGCTCAGGCCCAGGCGACAGTGCGTTTGCCCTAGTTCCCTCCACTTACTTATCTTTGCCCCTCTCCTTCAGCTTCTTCATGTCCACCATGCCGCCTGTCGTCATTTGGAAAGGGTCGTCCTGCAGAAAGCACACAGCTTAGAGGAAGCATCTAGAATAGCCACAGCTGAGTTAGTGATCTGTGAGTGTGCAGGTGCACGTACACATACATGTACATACCCATGAAGGTCAGAGGTCAATGTTGTGTGTCCTCAATCATTCTCCACCTTATTTTTCTTCTTTATTTTTGTGTTTTGAGACAGCACAGCCAAGCTGTCCTGGAACTCACTCTGTAGACCAGGCTGGCCTCAAACTCAGAGATCCACCTGCCTCTGCTTCCCAAGTGCTGAGATTAAAGGTGTGCGCCACCACCACCCAGCTTTCCTTACTTTGTATGTGTATGTGTGCTGTGAGCTGCAGAAATATGAAGTAGGAATTCAGCTGACACTGACTAAAAAAACCTGGCATAGCCAAGAGCTCTGCCAGAGGGAAGCCAAAACTCAAGGAGTTTTGGTGATATTAGCTTTTGCATGTATTAGCTGTTTCCTGCAGTGAATTTCTTGTGTGCTACTACAGTCTTCCCATTTGAATCTTTTCCCAGGAACTTCTAACACTGGGACTGATCACTTATTGGGCACTACTTCCCCTATACATTTTGAGGTATTTGGATAACATCACCCAGCTGTGTTTGAAAACAGTCACATAGTCAAGACCCCTTTCCCATAATCAGGCCTTTGTTCCTTTTATTCTAGCATAGACGTAGAGTCTGCCTTTCTGTAATTACCTTCATTAGCAGACATCTGGCCAGGGCCATCTCTGGATAAAGAGACACCTGGAGACACTTCTCATACATCCAAGGACAGACTGCAGACAGATGAGCACTAGTGTGCCCTGAGCTCATCTTGCCTACAAGAAAAGCTAACCTTGCTAACCTTAAATCCTCACCTTCACCCCGTTTATTAACACAAGACCCTAATTTAAGAGATTACTGCCTGCAAAATTACCAGGATGGTGTTCGGCCATCTTCTAGTTACTAAGATGAGGTAAATATTTCCACTGACCCTATGAGACAACCGCCAAGGCCAGTCGGGTGATAGGTGCCAAGCTTCGTTTCCTGTGCAAATTAAGCTTAAGTCCTCCTCGTTTATCCCATAGCCCAGGTGTTATCCTTAGTTCTAAAGATTCTTCCCTTTAGCAACCGACTCAGAGTGAAAGTGCTTTTATAAACCAAATGCTACATGTTGTGATGCAGAAAGTGGTGCTGATGGGGGATAAGCTTAGCCAGAAGCGGGGCCAAAGGAGAAAAGCCAGTGTTATTTTACTCATGACTTATACTGACACAGACTCCTAACCTTTTACCTAGCCACTTCTAAGAACAGAGTCTGAGCACATAACATTCCTCTTTAGATCCCCTAACTGATTTTAGCCCTTAGTTGACTCTACCTCCACTAGTCACTCCCCTTTGGGGTTGTAAATGAAAGCCGACAATTACTGCTCTATGTGTGGATCTTTTCACCTCTCTCTATGACCCCGAAAACTTTAAGTTTCGCATTGCATTGCCAAAGAATTACTGCTTGTAAGTGCATATAAACTGGTACTCCCACGGCACTTGTAGAATTGACTTAGAAGAATAAGTGAATGGACTGAAAGAGTTCAGTGTGTGTAGATTCATTTAATATCCCTCAGATTAGATCCCAGCTACTTAAAGCATCTTCCCCTGAACTCTGGGAAGAAAACCCCACGGGGCAGATACCCGGGGGCTTTCGATATATGTGACCATGCGTGTTAGTTTTGTGTGTGGAGTGTATATGCACGGCTGTGTGTACAAATGTGTGGTTGTGGAGACAAGAGACCAAAGTCAGGCATCTGCCTCAATCACTTTCCAGCTTAAGTATCTCAGACAGAGGTTACTGCTTTGGGTAGACTGCTGGCCAGTCAGCTCTAGAGCTCCACTGTCTCCACTCCAACCCGCTGGGGTTATAGGTGTATGCCATCATGTACGGCTTTTGTGTTGGTACTAGGGGCCTGAGTCAGGTCCCCATACTTCAGCAGCAACAACTTCAGCACTTTACCCACAGAGCCGTTCCCCCAATCCTTTGACTTACAGGCTTTGAGGCAGGGTCTCTTAGCTTGCTTATTCAGCACCTCGTCCTGCCTCTGCCTCCCCAGGGCTCGGATTACAGGTGTATGCCACCTCTCTCAGCTGTTCATGTGGGCGCCAGGGAGCCAAGCTTGGACCCTTGTGCTTGCACAGCAAGGACTCTGACTGAGCCATCTCTCTGGCACCATGGTTATACCTTAGGAAGCCACACAGAAGAGCAGCCCCAGAGAGGAGCCCACACTTACCACCAGAGTAGTTTCCTCTTGAACCTTCTCTCCCACCAGCAGGGCGGCAGCACTGAGCAAAAGAAAAGAAAACAACACCCAAAGAGAATGACACAGAGACAAGGAGGAAATCAATGTGCTGGCTAGTTATTTTGTCAACTGACACAAGCTAGAGTCATCGGGAAGAGGAAACTTCAACTGAGAAAAGGCCTCCATCACACCGGCCTGTAGGCAAGCCTGTGGAGCAGTTTCTTAGGATTGGTGTGTGCAGGGCTCCCTTCCCCTGGGTATGCGGTCCTGTGTTGTATAAGGTAGCTGAATGTAATCCTGGGAAGCAAGCAGTCAGCAGTGTTCCTCCACGGTCTCTGCTTCAGTTCCTGCCTCAGGTTCCTGCCATGACTTCCCCCAATAACTGAATGTGATCAAAATATGTACACCAAATAAACCTTTCCTCTGCACGCTGTTTCTGGTCATGGTCACAGGAACAGGAGGCTAACTGGGACAATCAGGCTTGCAGGCTGGAGTACTGAGGGTAGGTAGGAAAGCAGCTGCAAAAGCCAAAGAAGAACACAGCGCTCGGCACACCGTGAGTGCGAGGGAGAGCACAGTGCTCGGCACACCGTGAGTGGGAGGAGAGCACAGTGGTCGGCACACCGTGAGTGGGAGGAGAGCACAGTGCTCGGCACACCGTGAGTGGGAGGAGGAGGACACAGTGCTCGGCACACCGTGAGTGGGAGGAGGAGGACACAGTGCTCGGCACACTGTGAGTGGGAGGAGAGCACAGTGGTCGGCACACCGTGAGTGGGAGGGAGAGCACAGTGCTCGGCACACCGTGAGTGGGAGGGAGAGGCAAGGGAGGCACCTAGTGCATGTTCTTGCACGACCATTTGATATCACTGTGGTCTGGAAATCCCAGTATAAGATTCTGCCAGTCAAGGAAACTGTAACAGAAGACAAATGCCAGAGAACATGCACCGCGTATTTATAGCTGATGGTGAAAATTTACAAAATGACCCACAGGGATTGAAGTCAGGGCCTCACAGAGGCTGGGCCGTCACTATCACTGAGCTATCCCCGACACTTTTTGTTTCTTTGATTTTTGAGATATGGTCTCATTCAGTTGCCCAGCAGGCCTTAGACTTGTGACTGTCCCCCTTCAGCCTCCCAGGTAGCTGGGCCGACGGGTCTGTGCCACTAGGACTGGCTGTGTTGTTGCTGAGAGGAGGTTTCACTCTGTAGCCTGGGCTGGCATCCAACTCATGGCACTCCCACTATTTCAGTCTCTCAAGTCTGGAATTATAGGTGTAAGTCACTCCACCCACGGAGGCAGTCGACTAACAAATTATAGTACATACTCCTGGGGTACAGCATTATACAGTCTTCTGAAAAGATTTTCTGAAAAACACACAATATGGGCAGAAGCTCACAACATCATAATGAGTTGATTTTTAAAAAGCATGGGAAAAAAGTAGGTATAAAATTGATTAAAATCTTCAAAAATAAAAAAGAAACAGGTGGGAAAGAACTTTAGATGCTAACAATGGTTACCAATGCATGGAAAGATTATGAATGCTGTCTATCTCTCTACCTCAGCGTTTGTTTTTGTTTTGATGAGTGTTCTGTCTGCATGTACGCCTGCAGGCCAGAAGAGGGCATCAGATCCCATTGTAGATGGTTGTGAGCTGCCATGTGGTTGCTGGGAATTGAACCTGGGTCCTCTGGGAGAGCATCCAGTGCTCTTAACTGCTGTGCCATCTCTCCAGCCCACCAGGTTTTTTTTTTTTTTTTTTTTTTGGTTTTTCGAGACAGGGTTTCTCTGTGTAGCTTTTGCGCCTTTCCTGGAACTCACTTGGTAGCCCAGGCTGGCCTCGAACTCACAGAGATCTGCCTGGCTCTGCCTCCCGAGTGCTGGGATTAAAGGCGTGCGCCACCACCGCCCGGCCACCACCAGGTTTTTTAATAAATGGTCTTGCTATGTAGCCCAGGTTGCCCTCAAACTCCCAGTGTTAAGATTAAAGGCATACATCAACTACCACACCAGGTATTGTTTATTTTATTTTTTATTTTTTGGTTCTTTGAGACAGGGTTTCTCCATGTAACAGTCCTGGCTGTCCTAGAACTCATTCTGTAGACCAGGCTGGCCTCAAACTCAGAGAACCACCTGCCTCTGCCTCCCAAGTGCTGGAATTAAAGGCATGCGTCGCCACCGCCTGGCTTATTTCTTGATTATACTTCTCTAAGTTTCCCAAACTCTTATCTGCCAACATGTTGTTAGTCACAGTTCATCGGTGCAATTAAAAACTCAAGTTAGGAAAAAAAAAAAAAAAAAAAAGAAGAAGGCTGGAGAGGTGGCTCAGCAGTTAAGAGCACTGCTTGCTCTTCCAAAGGTCCTGAGTTCAATTCCCAGCAACCACATGGTGGCTCACAACCATCTGTAATGAGATCTGGTGCCCTCTTCTGGCCTGCAGGGATACGTGCAGACAGAACACTATATATAATAAATAAATAAATCTTAAAAAAAAAAAAAAAACACAAAAACACAAAAAAACTCGAGTTAGTTACCTGAAGCAGATTCTGAGACCACCAGGCTCAGGGCATGTGGCAAGTTAAACATTTGTAAAGAACGTTGGTCCCCTCTGTGAGCAGTGGAAGGTGCATGTCTAGAGAAAGAACTATGTTGAAGGAGGAGAGATTTGTAACTGAGACCCTAGCTGGGAAGTGTCTGTGTCTCACTGATGCCGCCCCCACCCCCGTGGTACCCACCTCACCCCGTTTGGCCTCTTCCTTAAGTTCTGCACCTCTCGGGTTTCTTCAAGTTTTAACCTGGGAGAAAATGAATAAACAGTAATGTACAGGCTGAGAGATGCTCTGCGAAATTCAAGGAGACCCACAGAGGTTTCCTAGTGAGATCTGAGCTTGTTTTACCCAGCAGGGCTGCACAAGGGGATGACTGGACCGCAGGCCTGGTTACCAGGCGTTTGGAAGGGTCTGCACTTGGTTGCACGATGTGCTTTGATCTATTAAGGGGGAGGTCTTTCGTCCACGCCTTGGCATTGTTATAAAAAGCGCTTTTGAAGAGTCAGAAGGGGCCAGCGGATTTTGATAAGGTCCTCCCGAAGCTATCCTGTGTTTCTGTCTCTCCTCTCCGCTATCTTTCTATCTAAAAGTTTCTTATTCCTCTCTCCTCCTCATAGGAACCCTTTAAAAGGTGGGCACTGGCCTCCCACAGATGGTGCCCTGAACAAGGACATAGGTTCAGGGACTCCCACACTAACTCAGTTCCAAGGACATCCGTCTCCCTTGGCCGAGTCCCTGGCACGGTAGATCACCGGCAGTCAGACCCATACGACCCCGGGACACCTCTCCCAGCTTCGCAGCCGGGAAAATGTGGCCTTATCCCCAGGAGCCTCTAAAAGACAACCCTGGCTCCCGGTCAACGGCGTCAGCGCGGTACCAGCCCCAAGCCTGTCTCCCTCTTCCTGGACCGTGGAGGCCCTGCCACACACGTACCGAACCTCCTCTGATTCCTGCTCATCTTCCTCCGACTCCGAGTCAGCCCGCCGGCGGCGGAAAGTCTTCCCGGTGATCCGCATAGCGGCGCCAGACTTTCGGAGCTATGTTACCAGCCGCGTAGTGCAGGGAACCCCTTTCGCTTCCGGCGCGCAAAAGTGTCGTCAGACCGCCGCTGCCTGCAGGCCCGCCTCCGGCTTGCCGGGCCCCGCCCCAGCAGACGGCCCCTAGATCCCAACTCGGAAAAGCAAAGGCAGGTACGGCCGCGTAGCCACACCCTCGGCCACACCCCAGCGATGTAACCGTGCTCACCACCAGCATGACAACCTTCGAACCATATGGCCACGCCCCAGCAGCACGGCCACTCCCCCTACTCCCGGCATGCATGGGCACTCAACACTCATACGGCCACGCCCCCAGCACGCACGGTCCCGCCTCCTAGTAGGCAGCGCCGTGTGACCCCGCCCCCTTCCATGGCATAGGCTCTTCCGATTGGACGGCTGACAGTGAGGAGGCGGGGCGCGGCAGGCAGAGCCACAAGACTCTGCGCGGCGTCGCGGTGGGCGCGCTTGACTGACAGGCGGCGCGGTTGCGACGGCAGGTGAGTTCCGGACGGCTGCTGCCTGATGTCGTGGGCTGGGCCGCTAGAGCAGGGACGATCGCGCCGCCGCTGCGAACAGGGGAGGCCTAGATTTGCGGGGCAGCCGCGACATGGGGAGAGGTCCCCGCCGCCCACCATCCCATCGACCGGCTTCTGTGTCCGCCCCAAGACCCCACGGCCCTGGCTTCTCCCAAGCAGGCCGCATGTCGCTCCGAAGGCCAGCGCGAGGCCACTCGGGCTCCGGGTCCAGACGTGCAAATTTATTCCTCACGGAGAAACACTGAGCGCCTGGGCGGGGGTGAATATCAGTCCCGGTGCCAACTGCCAGTACCAGGGTGGCCTGCAGCCACTGGTCCCTAGGAGGGGTGCCACTGACGTTCAGAGGCCGCTCCAAGGGTGTGAGGTCGGGGACTGCCCTTCGAGAGCTTGGGGTGTCTCCTTTGGCCTGGAGGACTGCCGCTCTACCCTCCACACCTTCCACCCCCAAGATGTTTCGAGGGTAGTTAGCTTTCAAAGGTGTCCATAAACACTTAAGAGATGGATAAATGCATGCGTAATGGCTCACCTGGGACTTTTAGGGACTCCTTAATTACTAGTTTCCTCTGGAGCAAAGCACTTTTTACTGGATACTTAACTGTGGCAGGCACTGGGCTAAGCATTCTCCCCGAGAAGTCTCCCGTCTAATCCTACGAAGTAAACGCAGTTGGGTCTGCCTTCCAACTGAGGAAGTTAGAAAAGGCTGAGGCTTACACAAGTAACCGGTGCTTCAAGTTACACAGCTGGGAAATGGGGCGGGGGCATAGTGTTGTCGGCTACGGGAATTGCATCAGGGACAGCGGGCCTCCATGGGTCTTTGCTGCTGCTATCGCACCTGGCGGTCCAGCTCGTGGGCTGGGGGAGGGGCTGATGGAGACTTTTTCTGGAAGACTATTCTAAAGCAGGGAGGCAAGTCTGCCCTGCCTTGGCTTTTCCCCAGAACAATTTTCTCAAAGGTGGTCATTCTCTTTACACTAGGACAAAGAAAAGACTGGGATGTCTTGAAACAGCCTTTTGGCTTTGATCAAAAAGGCATTAAGTGTCAGCGTCTTGACACCGCCCCCCAGACTGTTTCAGCCATCCTCAGATGTATATGGCACTCATTGGATTGTCTCTGTTGGCTGAAAAAGAGACTCCTTGGGAACTGCTGCAGGCACCCAGGGACTTGTGTGTACAACTCTCAAGGCTCAGAGGTGGTTCTTGATTCCCCTGCCTGGCCGTGCGTGCCCTGCCCTATAGCCCCTAGGTTACTGGGCCACTCTGGTACCTTCAAGGAAAGAGTCAAAGTCAGGAACATTTCCAGACAGTCCTCATTTGACGATACAGAGAGAGACATTAGATGCAAAGCTGTTGCCCCTCTCCTACCCTCCTCCTTGAAGCCAGAATGCATGCCAGGTGGCACCCACTTCCTGGGCTGTGGCAGATGGAGTTGATTCTTGTAACACAAGTACTGATTAGAGCCTGGCAGCCGGGAATTTGACCTCGGTGCCTGGGTGGAGAGACAGCAGGCCCTCTGAGTCAGGTTCTTGAAAGTGAGACTGCTTCACAGAGGGATCCTGTAGGAAAGTAAGGGGTTTTCCTCTCCTAGTTCCAAGATGAGTCTCTGGTTTTAGTTTGGCTTGGGAGTTGGGAATAGGTGCTGGTTTCTCTGAAGCTAGATGGATGCCCAAGGAGCATTCACATCTGGATGGCCCCTGCCATTGTAAGCATGCAAGAAATGCTTATTTGAGCCAGGTGGTGGAGGTGGCGGTGGCACACACTTTTAATCTCAGTGCTCAGGAGGTAGAGGCAGGCAGAGTGAATTCGAGGCCAGCCTGGTCTACAGAGCAAGTTCTAGGACAGCCAGGGCTACACAGAGAAGTTCTGTCTTGAGAAGAGAGAGAGAGAGAGAGAGAGAGAGAGGAGGAAAGAAAAATAATTCTTGTTTGAAGGACAGAGTATGTGCCTCAGCTGGTAGAGTTCTTGCCTAGCATGCATGATGAACCTTGGGTGAACCTGGCATACGGTTTCATGCCTGTAGGCCCAACCCTTGGTAGGGTCAGAAGTTCAGGGTCATACTCAGCTATATAGAGAATTTGAGGCTAGCCAGCCTGAGTCTAGGCTACATTTGACTATCTCACCATTAAAAAGTCATTAAAAAAAAATCCAGGCATGATGGGGCAGGTTTTTAATCCTAGCACTTGGGAGGCAGAGGCAGGTGGGTCTCTGAGTTTGAGGCCAGCTTGGTCTACCATGTAAGTTTCAGGCTAGCCAGGCTACCTCCTAGCTCCAACGGAAGCCTTCCTTCCCACCCTCTCCTGAGCCATCCTCCAGAGAGCAGTTCACTGCTCCACACAGCTTCAAGAAGTGTAGAACAGGGCCTGAACCAGAACCTCTGCTGGCAGCTTTTAGAAGTCAATGAAAGGAAAGGCATAGGTTTGGGGCTTTCCCAGGCTGGCACGATTTTTTCTTTTTCTCTAAAAACAAAACAAGGCCTTGCTGTGTAGTCGTAGCTGGAGCTTGGAGGTGAAATTTGTCCCTGTGCCCTGCTGACTGGTACATTGGGGATGTTGGAAGCCACAGTTCATTTAGAGCACTGGCTGCAGGGCAGGTCCCCCAGGTTTGGGTCCTGGCTCTGGGGCTCCAGAGCTCTGGGGCTCAGCCAGTTACTTCGGTACTCCAAGGCTCACATTCCCCACCTTTGGTGATGGGTGGGTTGCATCCTGGCCTCCCTGGGCAGTGTGAGGGTCCTGCGAAGTTATTCTTGGGGAAGTTCAAGACTTGGAGCTGTTAGCAGAGCTCCTAAGGTAGGGTCCGTGGTGGGCAGGGAGACCCGGAGGTGAGAGAAGCTGGCCTAGTCCAGGCAGGGGGTGGGGTGCCACATGGCTCTAGGTGAAGAGTCAAAGGGATGGGGGACTTAGGGAAGTAAGACTGGGGTGGGGAGGTGGGCAGTGTCTGGAAAAGGAAGGTGCATGTGTCCGCAAGGAGTGTGGTGTGCGGGGAAGGGGCTGTGGTTGGCTAGTGAGAGGATCGGTGTGGTAGTTGTAGGAACCCCGGCAGTGCCACCTTCAGATCCCAAAGGACCAGCGACTTCCTGGGAGTTGGGAGGAATATTACCAGAAGCTCTGGGGAAAGTGATGAGTAACGGGCACCTGAAGCTGCCAGGCCTTCGGAGTGAGTGCGCAGTCGCGCTGCCTCTTCTAGGCCCCGCC